TTTTCCAGGATTTGGCGCAGAGTGAAAATCTGATCAATAGTGGGTTTGTCAGGTCCGAAACCGCATTGGTATGGTCCGATGATGTCAATCGTTCACACAGCACACTGGATAGCACTTTATATGCGATAGGAAGGAAAGGGAATACAAAAAATATTTCGCATGGAAATCGTGAAGACTGTATTATTTGTTGTACTGTAGTTCTGAATTCCGCCTCTATTTCTACATCTAATATGAAGTTTATTACCATTTAGTACTCTTCATACACATAAGCACTATTTTCCGAAATCTTTTATTTTTATTTTATTACACAGATTAAAAATAGATCCGATTTTAGCAAATACGTACATGTTCCACATTTAGTTTCATTTAGCACTTTTCGAACACATAAGTACACATTTTTAAGACTACCTCCATACCATCATCACCACCACAAAATTTTGTACCAGTTACTTCCAAAACCTTCTTTCTAAATCTCCGTCAGCGAGCCACATTCTAAATTTTAGCTTTCCAGCTCTCTCCGTTACCCAAATCCAAATGTAAAGTATTTTCTATTCTATTTACTATTCGTACACATAAATTTGTAAATTTTCCAAAGTTGTCGCCATAACTCAATACTACACTTTACTAACAATTATCTAAATTCCATATCTCTGGGTTCAACCAAATCCAAATTTAGTACCATTTAGTACTTTTCATACTCTTACGTAAGATATTCTAAAACTACATCAATCCTACACTATAATAGTAATCTTAATTCGACCAAAGTCCAAATTGTACCAAATTTAGTACTTTTCGTACTCATAAGTACAAATTTCCAAATGTACCTCAATCCTGCTTTCAAATAGTAATCGTAAGTCTAAATTTAAGAATTCCAGCTCTGTCTGTTCATTAAAAAAAAATAAATTATACTAGATTTGGTACCATTCTGTACTTTTCGTACCCATATTCCAAACCTATCTCAATATTCCAAACCTGCTTTCAAATAGCAATCGTAAGTTCAAATTTAAGAATTTCAGCTCTGTCTGTTCTCCAAATTGTACCAGATTTGGTACCATTCTGTACTTTTCCTACACTTCCACCGTAACCTATGTGGCAACTTTCAGAATTCGGGTTATAACTCAAGTCCAAATTGTACCAAATTTTGTGCTTTTCGTACCCAATAATAACCTTAAGTGTACATTTAAGGATCCCAGCTCTATACGTTCACATACATCCAAATTGTATCAAATTTAGTACCATTTATTACTTTTCGTAGACGTTAGTACGAGATTCTAAAACTTCTCAATTTCACACTCCAAAACTATTTCTAATGACAAATTTCAGGATCCCAGCCCTATCCGTTCACATAGACCCAAATTGTACCATACTTAGTACTTTTCGTACTTATGAGTTCGAATTTCCAACACTGTCTCAATCCTTTACTCTAACAGTTCAAATTGTACTAAAAATACAAAATCCAAATTGTACTATATTTAATACCATATAGAACTTTTCGTACAAGTAAGTAGGAATTTCTTTAACTACCTCAATCCTACACTCCAACAGTCATTTTAATTCTCAATTTGAAGACTCCAATCATGTACTCCAATAGTAATCCCAATTCCTATTTTCACACTCAACACAATGCAAATAGTATTTTGTACTTTTTATACACATAAGTAGGTTAGGTTAGGTTTGGGGATGTGCAGTCACATGTATGACTGCAAAACTCTGAGACCGGTTAGGTCCGTTGTGATCATCCGCAAGAAAAGATACAGCGAAGTGAAGAGACAAGAGATAGATCTGTAGGGGAGAGAAGATTAGTGAATTAAAGGAGTGAAGAGTGAAGGTTGATGGTGCTATGAGTCAGACAGAAAAGTGTTACGTGCCAAGGTTGTATGCTCCTAACCACTTTATGTTTCTAATTATGCTGTAGATTAGAGCAGGTTCGGTTGTTGAGAAGAGGCAGAAAATGAGCACCCATTAATCTGTGCCGCCTGTAAGCCAGGGATGGGCACTGGCACAAGAGATGCTCAATTGTCTCCGTCTCCTCCTCGTCAACACAGAGTCTACAGTAATCAATTGCATCGAGGTCCCATTTACTAGTAAAGGCCCTGATGTTGCAGTGACCAGTGATGGTTCCTGTCACCACTCTAATTTCGGCTTTACTCAGGTTCAATAGTGAGCGCGTTCTTTTGGTTGTCAGAGTCGGCCAAATGGATCTTGACACGTTGCACCTAGGTTCGTTGTGCCAAAGTTCACAGGCTGTTTCGTCAAAGAATGCCTCAAAATTCCTATAGAAAAGACATATGGGTGGTTTGATTGAGTCATCAGTTTCTAGATCGGTGGATTGAGATCCTCGTCTAGCTAGTTCGTCCGCTCTTTCATTACCCAAGATGTCACAATGTCCTGGTACCCAACACAACCGATAGCTATGGTTAAGTTCTTCCAGAGCTGCTCTACACTTGAGGACGGCTTCGGATTTGATGTGACAAGATTTGATGGCTTTAAGAGCCGCTTGACTATCCACAAAGATAGTCACCGGTTTAACGACCTCAGCATCCAGACTTTTTATCAATTCCGCTGCCTTCCAGATCGCGAAGATTTCAGCTTGGAAAACACTGCAGTTGCTATCCAGCTTGTAGGTTAACTCAAGGCCTAACCTTTCACAGTAGACGCCTGCCCCAGTGCCTTCTTCCATCTTGGATCCGTCTGTATAGAAAGCCAGACCGTCCAGAGGAGGGTTACTTCGTTTCCAGTCGTCTCTACTAGTAATAACGACATCTACATCGTCAAATCTAAGGATTGGTGATATATAGTCGCTTAGTTTAATGCGTTGGTCCAAAGCTATACCTGGTTCATTCAGAACACTACTATGCCCAAAGGTACAGTCCCGCCAGAGTTTTTGTTCATGCAGCCGTAGGGCGCTACGCGCAGCTTGACACTTAATGCTGAGGCCCAAAGGCTTGAAATACAGCATTGCGTTCAACGCTGCTTGTGGCGTACTTCTTCTGGCTCCTGTAACTAAAATCGCGGCGGCTCTTTGTACCTTGTCTAATTTACTGTATGTCGACTTGAGGCTCAGACAGTTCCACCAAACAAGAGAGCCATAGGACAAGATGGGCTTCATCACAGTGTTATACATTCAGTGTATAGTCGATGGTTTTAGCCCCCACCTTTTCCCAATGGAGTTCTTGCATGCATAGAGTGCAATCATTCCTCTCTTCGCCCGCTACTCCACGTTCCTTTTCCATCGTAGTTGACAGTCCAGGATTGTGCAGAGGTACTTTGCTTCGGCGGATAGGTGAAGTTGCACTCCATCCAATGTTGGTGGAAAAAAAACGCCGAGCTTACGCTTCCTAGTAAACATTACCAGTTCCGTCTTCGGTACGGAATTGCTTAAACCATTTCCATACATCAACATAACTTCCCAAACTGTATTCTATATAAAATTTCAAATATGTTCAATATATATACAATTAGAACTAAATTTAGTAATGTTTAGTACTTTTAGTACACTTATAGGTCGAATTTTCAAAAACCGTTTTTTTACATCTTTCTAACTTTCCATCAGTGACCCACATTCCAAATTTCAGAATTCTAGCTCTTCCAGTTCGCCTAATACAAAGGATACCATATTTGGTACATTTTAGTACTTTTCGTAACCTTCTAGTTCGAATTTCCAAAAACCCAGCCTTATCTCACGCCTACACACCAACAACAACGCACACTCAAAATTTGACGTTTCGTCTGGGCGATCATCTGTCAGTCACTCACTCACATAACACTAAGCTCTTTTATCTATTGTTAAGATTAAAATAAATCGACGCCTAGATATAGACCCTTAAAACATATTTTTGAAAAATCTACGCCTATATGCTCTACTTCAAAGTGTAGATTTTTATACCCTACACAACTATGTTGTCAGGGTATTATAGCTTTGTGCAGCCCCAAAAGTTTGTAACGCAGCGAAATATTGGTCCTAGACCCACCTTTAAGTATACCGATCGTCATATCTCGACTAGCTGAGTCGATCTAGACATGTGTGTCCGTCCGCCGTCCGTCTGTCCATTATAATTTGTAAACACGATACAGGCCACAGTTATGGACCAATTTTCACGAAATTTTGCATATAGGATGGGTTCTGGCCAATGAAGACCCCTATTGGTTTTGGGAAAGATCGGTTAATATTTAGGGGATGAAATGGACCAAATACTATTTTTTTCGTTTTTTCTGGTCGCTCCAGAGGCCGTAATAATGGCCCGAACTTTGTGAAATTTTGCATGGAGAAGGGGATCGGGCCAAAGAATAAGCATGCCTGTTTTGATAAAGATCGGCCAATATTTAGCGGGTCAAATGGAATCTGACTTTTGTGTGAAAAATGACAAAATTTGTATTCTATAGCGTATATATTTACGACTGAAGGACATGGACCCGAGAAGTTGATATTATATCCAAGAGGAGTGGTTGACCTTTAAATTGATACCAATTATATTGTCGTATGTACTCGGATGTGGGAGTTACATCTAAATATTTACAATTATCTCCGTATTCGTATATTATTTAGTAACCCATTATCACTCTTGAGAGCGGAACTATAACGCTGATCGCTTTGAAATGATCTATGAGGTTCCAGTTATGGTCAAGGACAACGCCTATAATTTTCGGTGATGACCAGATAATAATTTTGGAATGAAGTGGACCGAAAACTTAATTTTTTGTGCTATTTTCGAGTCGATCTATAGACCACAAATGAAAGCCGAACATCACAACACAACCCACGGGGAAGGGAATCTGGACAATAGCTGTACTGAATACTCGTAATATTCGGAAAATATGTCAGTGTGAGGAAGAGGTGCTGTTTACCTGGGAATAAACATCCGCAGAAAATTTGAGTTCCGTGGTAGTTGTGTAGGGTATCGTATGGTCGGCCGCGTCCGACTATACTGCTCCGCTCACTGGTTTAAAGTATCTTTGTTTCAATTCTAGCGTATCTGTCTCCTTTCAGAACTCCACCAATCATGGACACCCTCAACGCCGACTGTCTACGGGAGATCATAATAAATCTCTCGCTAAAAGATCAAATAGCATTATTGCAGGTCAATGCATATTTTGAGGAAATTGTACTCTCTCTATGGTCGACAAAATACAAAAACAATAACATCAATTTCTTGGAAAGAGATCTCAATGATACAGAAATGGAAATCTTTTTCAAATCCATAACACAATTTGCCGAATCATTTGAATTGCGATTTTTAGATGAACATAAATATGGAATATTGAAGAAGTTCACTTACCCACAAGTTAGATCCGTGCGCCTAACAACACCTACCTGCTTTATGGAAGATGAAGATGTCTTGGATTTACATCGAATGTTTCCCAATTTGCAGGTGTTCAGCCCTTATGGTAATTTAAGTGGAAAATATTTAGACTCCTGGCGGGATCTGAAGGAATTAAATCTTGCCCATTGCTACAAATTGGAATTGAAACATTTGCATCGTATTATGAGTAATTTACATTTGGAACATCTGGATTTGAATATGTTCCCGCTGTGTAAGCAGTACGAACAATTGGATTTGAGAAAGGCCCATTTGGAGAGGTTGCAGTATTTGCGTCTGATTACCTATGAATTTTATTATTTCCTTTCGAAACCGCTGCCCCAGTTGAAACATCTCTACATTACCAATCAATATAATCCACGTCAATTGTTCGCTGCCATTCTCTCGGTGTAGGAGGCTAAGGATATCCTTAAGGTCGAGGCAAATGTTCAAATGTCCTCGTCAATTGTTTGGAGATGCGCCTAAATGTCCATGAGTTGTGCATCATCAACGATGACAACGTTCTGCCCTTCAATGTTATGAAGTCTCTACATCAGCTGGATGATTTGCGAGTGCTGCGTTTTAAGAGCTGCGATTTCACCACAGTCGATGTGGCGGAACTTTTAAGGAATATTCCTCAAGTTGAGGAAATTTCATTGGAAAGTTGCCGTCTACCAGATCAGATAATATCTCTCAATGTTCCCCTGCTGGCAGCTGAGAGAAGCACACCGCTGAGACTGAATTTTTGGCAAAATTTTGCCAGAGATTCATCACCGGAATTTTTTTTTGGGAACAGAACAGAACAAATGTAGGTGATGGAAATATAATTAAAAAAAAATAATGATGTACAATTTTGTTTCCCTATTACAGTCTCCCCAACCCTGTGATGTCATATTGGAAGGTCATCATGATCTGTTTGAATTTACCGAAAAACCTGGTTCAGATTTGCGTTTTGAACCACTCTATGTACAATTCCGTTGAGAGTTAAAAACCAAAAACTAATAAAAATATTTTTAATACAATAATATTTTTAAGGCCTATTTTTTATAGCATATTTGTACCCTTCAACACACTGTGGTACAGGGTATTATGTCTTCGTTCATATGTTTGTAACAGACAAAAGGAAACGAGATAGACACATGGTTCCTTTTTAGAATATGCATAGAATCACTTTCTAAGTCGATTTATGCATGTCCGGACGGTCCGTCTGTCTGTCCATGTTAAATTGTAAACAAAGTACAGGTCGCATTTATGATCCGAATTGGATAAAAATTGGCATAGGTTACTTGTTTGGCCCAAGGACGAACCCTATTGAAATTGGGAAAAATCGATTCAGATTTAGATATAGCTCCCATATATTTTTTCGTCCGATTTTAAGTAAATTGTGCACAAAAGTCCATAAATTTTTTTCGATTGGCACGAAATTTAGCATAGCGTACTAAATTGGGTCTGTAATATTGTATGTTAAGTTTCGTGAAAATCGCTTCAGAGTTAGATATAGCTCCCATGTATAGATTCGTCCGATTTTCAGTAAATGGTGCACCAAAGTCCCTAAATATCTTTCGATTTGCACGAAATTTGGTATAGAGTACAAAATTAGGTCTAGAATGATGTGTGCTAAGTTTCGTGAAAATCGCTTCAGATTTAGATATAGCTCCCATATATATTTTCGTCCGATTTATGATAAATAGTGAACCAAAGTCCCTATATATCTTTCGATTTGCACGAAATTTGGTATAGAGTACAAAATTAGGTCTAGAATGATGTGTGCTAAGTTTCATGGAAATCGGTTCGGATTTATTTTCGTCCGATTTAATGTAAAGTCCCTATATATCTTTAGATTTGCACGAAATTTGGTATAGCGCACTGAATTAAGTCTAGAATGATGTGTGTTAAGTTTCGTGAATATCGATTCAGATTTAGATATAGCTCCCATATATATTTTCGTCCGATTTATGGTAAATGGCGCGCCAAATATATTTCGATATGCCCGAAATTTGACACAGCGCACTGAATTGAGTGTATAGTTAGAGTTAATGTTCTTTCGAAAAGGCGACGTCTGTTAGGAGAATATGTACAAGTCGGCCCTGTCCGATTTTACTACTTTCCTTGCTGGTTAATATTGTAATATTTAATAAGTTAAGATCTGCTGAAAATTATATAGATTGACTCATATAACTATGCAAACACGAGTATGATATTCCCTTGATCCATTCCTAAAAAAAAAATAACAATAACTCAAAATACTACATACATACATTATTATTGTTGTTTATTGTTCATTGACATTGACAGATGCAGTTTTCGAACATGCGAACACAAAAAAACACACACACAATAAACTGGAATTACAAAAATCCAAGTTTAGCATTAATTAAATAAAAAGCTTTAGTTCGTTTGTGAACGTCTATTCTGTTCTGTTCTATTCTTGGCCGAGAAACTGCATCAGCCAGCCATCCATCCAGCATAGCTCGCACAAAACTCGAAAGCTTTGAACCGAAGTGCAAATATAATGACAGAGAATATCAAATTTGCAACCGTTCATTAGTCGTTGTCTAGAGTTTGACTTTTAAATTCAACTTCAAAATCGATTCACAGATATTCTTGTTGTTGTTCTTGCTGTTGTTGTGATCTCACTAAAAAATTGGAGTATGGCAGACTAATAAAATTCAAATGGTTTTTGTTTTCGTTTTATCTGAAGTGCAATTGTCAAATGCAGAAAATCTGCATATTAATGTCATAACAAGTTCATGTGAGTTGTTGTTGTTGTTTTTTTGATAAAAATTTATGAAACAATTTTCTGAGCGCCTAATACAACCATGTCTTAGTTTTTGTAGATTTTATTAAATATTTTTTAAAGGTCTTCCTTCCGCCAGATGGCGTAGATTTTTAAGACCCCACATATAGTGGAAGATTTTTATACCTTACAAAAGTATGTTGTCAGGGTATTATAGCCTTGTGCAGCCCCAAGAGTTTGTAATGTTTAAGACCCTACATATAGGTGTAGATTTTTTTAAAAGTATTATTAAGACCCTAAATATTGGCGTTGATTTAAAAAAAGTTTGACCCTAAATATAGTGGAAGATTTTTTACACATATATTTTAAGGGCCTACATACAGGCGTAGATTTTTATAAAATTTTTTTAGGGGCCTACATTTAGGCGTACATTTTTTTAAATATTTTTAAGGACCTAAATTAAGGCGTAGACTTTTAAAAATATTTTTTTAAATTCTTATTCTAATTCAAGGTATTTTCATTATCTTTCAGAACTCCACCAATCATGGACACCCTCAACGCCGACTGTCTACGGGAGATCATAATAAATCTCTCGTTAAAAGATCAAATAGCATTATTGCAGGTCAATGCATATTTTGAAGAAATTGTACTCTCTCTATGGTCGACAAAATACAAAAACAATAACATTAATTTCTTGGAAAGAGATCTCAATGATATCGAAATGGAAATCTTTTTTAATGCCATAACACAATTTGCCGAATCATTTGAGTTGAGATTTTTGGATGAACATAAATATGGAATATTGAAAAAATTCATCTATCCCCAAGTCAGATCCGTACGCCTAACAATACATCCTTGCTTTATGAAAGATGAAGATGTCTTGGATTTACATCGGATGTTTCCAAATTTGCAGGTGTTCAGCCCTCATGGTAATTTAAGTGGAAAATATTTAGACTCCTGGCGGGATCTGAAGGAATTAAATCTTGGTTATTGCTACAAATTGGAATTGGAACATTTTCATCGGATTATGCGTAATTTACATTTGGAACATCTGGATTTGAATATGTTCCCGTTGAGTAAACAATATGAACAATTGGATTTGAGAGAAGCTCGTTTGGAGAGGTTGCAGTATTTGCGTCTCAATACCTATGAATTTTATTATTTCCTTTCGAAACCATTGCCCCAGTTAAAACATCTCTACATTACCAATCAATATAATCCACGACAGCTGTTTGATGTCATTCTGTCGGTGTGGGCGGCTAAGGATATCCTTAAGGTCGAGGCAAATGTTAAAAATGTCCTCGCCAATTGTTTGGAGATGCGCCTAAATGTCCATGAGTTGTGCATCATCAACGATGACAACGTTCTGCCCTTTAATGTTATGAAGTCGTTGCATCTTTTGGATGATTTACGGGTGTTGCGTTTTAAGAGCTGCGATTTCACCACCGTTGATGTAGCGGAACTTTTAAGAAATATTCCTCAAGTTGAGAAAATTTCATTGGAAAGTTGTCGTCTACCAGATCAGATAATATCTCTCAATGTTCCCCTGCTGGCAGCTGAGAGAAGCACACCGCTGAGACTGAATTTTTGGCAAAATTTTGCGAGAAGATCCAGAAATTCATCACCGGAAGGTGATGGGCAACAGAACAGAACAAATGTAAGTGATGAAAATATATTTTTGGAATATTTTTTTTAATGAAATAACATTTTTTTCCTTTTACAGTCCCCCCAACCCTGTGATGTCATATTGAAAGGTCATCATGATCTGTTTGAATTCACCGAGAAACCGGGTTCGGATTTATGTTTCGAACCACTTTATGTACAATTCCGTTGAGAATTTAAATAAAAAATCAATAAAAACTGAAGATAAGAATTTTTAGGGCTTACATATAGGCATGGATTTTTTAAACATATTTTTAAGAACCTGTATATAGGCGTGGACTTTTAAACAATATTTGTAAGGGTCTATACATAGTGGGTCTAAGGGTCTATAGAGTGATTTTTTTTTTTTAAATATTTTTTGAGAGCCTATATTTAGACGTAGATTTTTTTAAAATATTTTTATAGGTCTATATATTTTTAAGGGTCTAGGCATAATTTTTTAAAAAATATTTTTTTAAGGTCCTGCATATAGGCGTATATTTTTTAAAACACTACTACAAATAACAATATTAATTTCATAGAATAAAATATATATTTTTTATTTATCATTCACTTCCATATTTGGTCCAATAGGGGTTTTTAAAGCATAGAATAGCTTCTTAAGGCAAAAATGTGTAGATCTTAAAAAAATAAACATACCCAAGGACAGGGTATATAATGGCATATAAGGCAATCTAAATAAAGATTTTAAAATATATAAAAAATATTTGGTACAATATTAAGGGCACATATGTGGGATTAAAGAAATTTTTGGTACATCTTTGCTTTGTCTTAGTTTAAAAAAATAATAATTAAATAGGTTATAATCAGGTTAAGGGGTTCATCCTGCACCTTCTCATATTCTTTGGCTTTTGCTCTTTCAGTCTCCGTTCAATTATAAATGTAAATCAATTATGGTACTCTCAACGAATGGCATTTTATCTTTTTCCACATCAATCTGATATATGGCCAATTGGATAAATTGCCATACTCGCAGGCAGGTCTGGGGATAACGAATATTCATTCCTAACATATAATGGAAGAGGAAATTCAAGGCTTCCATAAGTTCGGAACACTGGAAAACAATACCGCTTATACTAAATTCGGCATAGATAACCTGTTGATGGCTGTGGACAAAGCGAATTTGTAAATCGGCTGGATTTGGGTCGGAACGTAGCTCGTCAAGGGTCTGTAAGAAAAATATAAATTGAGAGATTAGAAAAAAATGGAATATAAATTAAATTAATCCAACTTACCCCATAGGCCTTAATGAATCTCTCCTGGCACTCCGCCCTGGAAGCCTTGGAGGTGATGATTTCATTTTTTCGTCCACTACAGGGTATTATGTAGGGTATGAGTAATAATGCCAAACCGGCAGTGTATGCTAAAAAATAGAAATTCAAAAATTTAAATTTTAACATCTTAATTACAAATATTCAATACTCACTTTCATCTGTAGACTCTTCGATGGCCCTTATAATACTAGCTGTATTACCCAATTTCCGGCGAATACCCTTGGCTTTCGCCAAAACTTTCTTATAAATATTCAGCCAATTATCAATTGTCAATGCATTGGGATAACGATTTTTAACATCAATTTCAATGAGAGTAATGCCTCTCTCACATCGCAATATCGAATAACGTTCCATATATTCGGAGGGTGTTAGTTTTTCTTTTAACAATTCTTGCCAACGTTTTTCATGGGTTTCTGTCCATTTCACCATTAAATAATCCCAATCCATGGTGGTATTTTCGGAAAAGTCGATGTTTTCGACCTCTTCAACCTCCTGACCTTCAACCTCCTGACTGTGAATGGATTGTGTATCTTCTTTGTGTTCCGAATCCTTTTTCCGCCTCTTATATCGGCTCTTGGCAACACCACTTTGCACCAAGAACGACCGTTTACTAACATAAGCACACCATAGTTTACCCTTTGCATGAGCATTCGGTTTGGCCGGTATAAAATATGTCGTCTCTTCTTCGGTGGGGAATGCCTGACACACATTTTGGGCTAATATCATGAATTCTTGGCGTTGGATGCTACAACAAAAGGAGGGGTTAAAAGTTGTATTAATACAAATTAACCCGTAATATTTACCATCGATCCGGCTGTACTCTGAGGCATTCTTCTATTACCGCCTTGGCTATGGCATTTCGATGTTTATTTTCCAATGGCTTACCCATATCTACCAGAGCACAAATATGTAAAATTGAGGGTATACTACGAATTTCATCAGCACTGGGTAAGTGTTTGGGATCTTGCGTAATTGTAGTCCGTTGACCCAATTCCATTGGCCTATCATCATTTTTGGAATTTAAATGAGCAAGAAAGTTAGCTGGAAAAAGAATAATGTAAAGATTTAATTCAGATAGAATTGTCAAAGCGAAAACTAAAATTAGATTACATAAAAAATCTTAAATATCCTAAAACAATTAACTAACATGCAGCACTTGGCTCATTGAATATTCAAATTTCAAATAATTGGATTTTTTAAGAAATTTCAGTGTGGGGCAAAATATTGGCTTGATGCCAAGTATTTTACAAGCATAAGCCCATTTAGAGGACATTTGCAGTAGACTGACTTTATTTAGAGGTCTTTAGAATGTATTCTTCCTTCATAGGTCTATATTTACAGTAGACCTGCAGGAGGTCTGCAATAAAATATTACTTTGTAGAAGCCTTCTTACACAGATTATAATATCTTTTGTAGGAACAATTCTTAATGCGAAAGACGTAGCCTAAGAAAATGAAATTATTAAGGAACTCCACTGTCATAAGAACTTCGAATACATTGTAGGGACATTCTGATGATCTACTGGAGTTCTTCTATATACAGATAAACTGCTGGGTGGTGATGACCATTCTTCATTAGATCATCTTTAGGAAAAATTTATGTCGTTATAATTTTACACGCAGTAGACCTGATAATCTTGAAGACTATAAAAATAAAAACTTCCAAAGGACTTTTATATACCGAATTTATTGTAGGCGTATTCCGAGGAGCTTCAGGCGTTCCACATTATACAGAAGTCCTTCTGAAGGTCTTGTATAACAAGCAGACTTACTGGTACTCTTTTTTATATAGAAGAGAAGGGTAATCGACACTGTATATAATGAAGATCTTCTTGAAGTCATCCTTAAAATACCTCCTGGGAGTCTTGTACAAAAAGAATACATTCGGGAAATCTCCTTTAGCCAGATTATGGAATCTGCACTAAGCAAAAGACATACTGAAGGAATCTATGTGCAATAAAACCTAGCATAGATAAATTATATTCTCCAGACCTTCCACTCTAACATAGTCTTTCCGAGTCTTCTTACTGGTCCAATACGTTGTGGGAATCCTTTGAAAACCATCAGGAGCTTGTACAGAAGAACAATTTAAGGACTTGTATAAAAAAAAAGAAAATTAACTGTGTGTCCTATTATTTATACGAAGGTTCTTCTAGACTTATTCTATAGGCAGAATATCATCAATCAATCAATCTATATGAATAACTAGCATATACCCGCTACTCCGTTAGCGAATGTGAGAAGTATTTAAAACCCAATACCAATCATTATTAACACTTTTAGAACCATTTAGTACCCATGTTATCTTATAGTACGTTTTTCCAAAACTACCTCCATATCTCAACCCTACACCAATTCTGACCGCAAAAGAAATCTAGCTCTATACAAAAATTTGTTGTAAAATTTGGTCCAATTTGTTTCAAATTTAGTACCATTTAATAAAAATAAGTACTACCTGCATCATGCAATCCAATGGGAATCTTTTTACTCAATTTCAGGATTCCAGCTCTATCGGTTAGCTTTTAATCCCAATTGTACCAAATTTAGTGTCATTTAGTAGACATTTCCAAAACATCCTACATAGCCCAATACTATACCCCAACAGGTAATCTAACTTCAAATTTCAAGATTCAAACTCTATCTGTTCTCTCAAATCCTTATTTGGTACCATTTTGTACACATTAGTACAAGTGTCCAAATCTTTCTACACATCTCAATCCTTCACCCCAAAAGTAACCCTATCTCCAAATTTCAGGATTCCAGCTGTATTGGTTGGCCCAAAATTTAAATTGTATAAAATTTAGTACACATTAGCACGAAAGCCGAATCCTACACCCCAACAGTGATTCTAACATCAAATTTCAAGATTCCAGCTCTATCGATTCACCCAAATCCAAATTTGTTACCATTTTGTACACATTAGTACGGATTTTCAAAATTCCCTACATTCTTACAACCAAACAGAGATCCAAATTACATTGTTCCCGCTCTATTGCTTCACCCAAATCCAAATTTTGCCAATTATAGTATTTACAACTTTTAGTACACATAGGTAAAAAATTCCAAAAACTACGTACATATCCCAATCCTACACTCCGACGGTAATGTTAATTTCAATTTTCCGGATTCCAACTCCTTTTGTACCTCCAAATTAAATTTGTACCGAATATAGTACAATATAGTACTTTTCGTATACATAAGTACACGCTTCCAAAGCCAGCTCCTTATATCGACCCTACTTCTCAACCTTAATTCGCATTCCAAATCCATTCACATGCAACGAAATTGTATCAAATTTAGTACTTTTCTGATACTTATAGTTCGAATTTCCAAAAAAAAAACCTTTGCTACTTCTATTCTACACTCCATCAGTGAGCCTCAATCCAAATTTTAGAGTTCTGGCTCCACCGGTTCGCCAAATACAAATGATCCCATACTTTTTAGTACTTTTCGTAACGTTCTAGTACGAATTTCAAAAAAAAAAAAACCCAGCCTCATCTGACACCTTTGGACCTAGAGTGATACTCAACTAAATTCTAACTTCAGTCGTTTCGTCTGGGCGTTGATGAATCGTTAAGTCAGTAAGTCAATCACTTTACTCTTTTATTAGCATAGATACCTTTAAATTTTAACTAGAAAAGGCTATCTGGAGGGATCATCCCTGGTGCTTCCTCATTATCATAGACTTAGACATTATATATGAAAGAAATTCCGGAAAGGAGTAACTCTGAGGCTCATTAAACATCTGGTTGTCCTTTATATAGCGATTGGCTTCTGAAGGTATTCTATGTTTTTTGAGGGTTTTGTTTAGCTATGGGACCTTTTGAAGTTTTTTAGCTACGGCTAGAGGTTCTTTTAGGACTCCTTCTAAAGACCGTGATCATTGATTTTAGATCATT